CCCCCCCCCCCCCCACCCCAACCAACTCCTCTCCCCCTCCCCACCAGCCCCAAAACAAGCGCTTTGCTACCAACTAAAGCGTCTCTCCGGGAAATCTCCGGCGTGCGTCGCCCGTCTCTCCTCGGGTCAACCCGACCTTCCCGGTGCTTTGGAAGTCTCCACGTGGGGGGGGGGGAGGAGAACTCTCTCTCTCTCTCCAAGGGGTCGAGCCCCACCTCGGCCCTGCACCCTCCAACGCCCAAGGAAGGGGAGGGGGGGCAGAGAGCCAAGGTGGCCAAGCTGGAACACCCTCTCCCCCGGCCCAAAGGTCCCCTGCCCAGAGAAGCCTCATTCTTGCCCCTCCCCGTCCTTTCCCAAGGTTGTGCACGGCCGGCAGCATCCTCAGCCCCTGGGGAAGGGGATGGTGGTGGTGGTCCTCCCCCCCAGCCGCCCTCTCTACATCCCCCTCCCCCCGGGAAGAGTTCCCCCCTCCCCCGGCTTTCCACGGGCGCCCCTTTCCCCTCCTCTCCTCTCCTCTCTCTTCTACTCACCATCATCGCCTTGCCGCGGAAAGCGCCGGCCGCGCGGCGGGGTTGCGGCGCCCGGGGCCCGTCGCGGCTCTCCAGGTCTCGCTTCTCTCGCCGGCGGCTGCTGCTGCTGCTGCTGCTGCTACTGTGGCCGCTCCGGCTGTTGCTGTTGCTGCTGCCGGCGGCGGCGAGGGCGCCTCTCCGCGGAGGCTGCTGCTGCTGCTGCCGTTGCTGCTGCCGTTGCTGCTGCTGCTCGTCGGCCGCATCCAGGCTGCTGAAATTCCACACCAGCAGCGTTTGCACCAGCAGGACGGTGAGCGCCAGCAGCAGCGCCGAGTGCGAGCGCCGAGCCAGCCGCCGGCTGCACGGGGAGGCCACCCCGGCCGCCGAAGAAGAAGAAGAAGAAGCCGCCCCCGTCGCCCCCGTCGCCGCCGCCACCATCGCGCAGCGCAGCTTCTCTGCTGCTGCTGCTGCCGCTGCCGCCGCCGCTGCTGCCGCCTTCGCTTTTGCTCGCCCCGGCCGCTGCCAGCCAAGCCAGCCAGCCCAGCCAGCCAGCCAGCCAGCCGCCGCCGCCCGGAGTTTTGCAGGCGGCTGGCGAGACGTCAGCAGGAGGCGGAGAAGAGGCGAGGCGAACGCAGGCCCGGCGCTGGGGCAGCCCCCTCCTCGCCAGGCGTTGGAGGGAGGAGGAGGAGGAGGGCTCGGCTGGCGCGCCGGGAGGCGGTGGGCCAGCAAGAGGAGGAGGAGGAGGAGACGCCGCAGCTGCTCCCGGAGCCTTAGCTATTCGCTCGGTCGGAGGGGCGTGTGTGTGTGTGTGTGTGTGTGTGTGTGTGTGTGTGTGTGTGTCTGGACGCGCGTGGGGAGGTTCACACGTGACGGGATTCTCTGCCTCTTAAGCCATCCGGGTGGCGGCGTCTCCGCCTCTTAACCACGCCGCAGCTGCTCCCGGAGCCTTAGCTATTCGCTCCGTCGGAGGGGTGCGTGTGTGTGTGTGTGAGTGCGTGTGTCTGGACGCGCGTGGGGATGTTCACACGAGACGGGATGAGGTCTCTACGCCGCTGCGATGGCGGGCAGAGGCTTGGGGTAGCCTCGGCTGCTCCTGAAGCCTCCCTGGTGGCATCTCTCTGTCTCTGTCTCTCTCCCCCCCTCCCTCCATCTCTCTCTCTCTCTCTGTATGTATGTATGCACCCTTGTGTGTTCACACGTGAAAGGGATTTTCCCCCAACTCACCCTGATGGCAAGCAGAGGTTTGGGTGCTGTCCACACCACAGCTCTTCCCGAACCCTCACAGGGGGCAGAGCTATGTACTATGGGTGCTGTTGACATGTGTGTGTTCACACATGAAGGGGTCCAGGGTCTCTAACCCACAGCGGCTTGGGTGGGGTACCCTTAAACACGGCTGCAACAGAGGATCAAAACTCGGACTGTGGAAATGTGGATGAGCCACCTCTGGGCTTCCCAGCTGCCTGGCAGAGTCTGGCCTCCTCTAAGCAAGTTGGATGTCAGTTCCAGAAATAGATGATCATCACCGCTGGTCTGGTACTGCCAACTGCTGGTGGGGAAGAGCGTAGAAGTGGGCAATTTATTTTGAATATATATATATATTCTGAAATATATTTTGAAATATATATATATATATTTTCTTAAGTTTTCGCAGGTACTTACATGTATGGCATTCAGCTTCGTTCGGGTATTTTCCCACGTCATTGTAGTTGTGCTTTTAAAGTTGTAGCAACGTTTCGGCAGAATCTCATCTGCCATCGTCAGGCTTCTGTATAGTGTTCATCTGTGAGTCCGGCTTATATATGTATATGTGTGTGTGTATATATATAGATAGATAGATAGATAGATAGATAGATAGATAGATAGATAGATA